TCTCTTTGTCATCATGAAATTCTTTAGTTGTTCTTTGTCATGAAGTATTTCACTTCTCCATCAAACTTGAAAGAGAGTTTTGCAGAGTATAGTAGTCTGGGCTGGAATTTGTTTTCAAGGAGGACTTGAAGTACTCTGCTCCATGCTCTTCTTGCCTTCATGGTTTGTGAAGACAAGTCAGCTGTAATTCTGATGGGTTTTCCTTTGAATATGATCTGCTTCTTTTCTCTAGCGGCTCTCAGTATATTATTCTTGTCCTGAATTTCTGGGATCTTGACTATTATATGTCTTGGTGTGTTTTTAATTGGGTTGAAGTTACTTGGCATTTTGTATGCTCCGGTTACCTGAATGTCAGATTGTTTCCTCATATTATGAAGTTTTCTGCTATTACTTCTGCCCATATTTTTTTTAATATCATTTGTATTGACTCCTTCTTTCTCATTGATTAGTCTAACATTGTTCATCTTTGCATCATCTTGCAGGTGATGGATTATTTTTTCCTGCATCCTAGTTGTTTTTAAGAGATCATTTCTTATCTTTTCACTAGCTGCACCAGCATCTTCAAGATCTGAAACTTTGTCTTCACTTTCACTTAAATGGTTTTGCAAGCTTGTGATTGAGATTTTAAGTTCCTCTATATCTCTTTGACTCTGCTTCATGCGATCTATTTCTTTCCTGTATTGCTCATTCAAGGAATCTGTCCTTTTTGTAATCTCCTCTATTTTTTTTTTATCAATGTCTTCTTTAGAAGCAGGTATTAATTCTTTTACTGCAGTGTTATTTTCAGATTGGGTTTCCTCCCTATGTTTCTATAGTTTATTCTTTACTTCAGATGCTATGAGTTCCAAGAATTCTTTTTTATTTCAGAAAATTCCACTCTGAGTTCTTCTATAACTTTCTGCTGTTGCTTATTTACTATCAATGCTATTAATTCATACATTTGAACAGAGCTAGTAGAAAAGAATTCCTCTCTGAGTTCCTCCATGACTTTCTGCTGTTGCTTATTTACTATTGACGCTATTAATTCATACATTTAAGCTGAGCTAGTGTCCTCTGCACTTGTTTTGGGTGGGCATTGGGTTTCCTCCATATGTTTCTGCATTTGAATCTTTACTGCATATGTTATTAATTCAGGAATTTCTTTTTTTCATTTCCAATCTGAGTTCCTCCATACCTTTCTGTAGTTGTTTCTTTATTTCAGAAGCCATTGATTCATTGATTTCAGCTGTGTGATTCCCAATTTGTTCTGTCTTAATGTCCTCTGCACTTGTTATGGGGTCTGAGATTGCATCTTGCTCCTTCTTGTTGTCATTTTGTGTA